CCAGTCTAAATTTGAAGGATAGGAAAATAAACTCCACTTCAACCCATCAGCCACTTTGCAAGAGAAAGATACAGTTGTCTACTCCCATAAAGATTCACTGTCTCAAAAATCTGAAGGAGGAGTTCTAGTCCGTTTTCTAGTGTCCTGAGGGAAAGAGTTGTTGTTGTTGTTGTTGTTGTGAAGTGCCGTTGAGTTGGTTCCGACCCATAGGGATCCAGTATAGGGTTTCCAAGGAGAGACTGATGAGTTTGAACCGCCAACCTTGCAGTTCAAACCGACTTTGTAGTCCAATACATTAAGCCACAGTGCCACACCAGGACTCTGATGGAAAGAGTAGTGGAGTCAACAAGGGAGTGGTACAGGAAGGCCATTAATGAAGATCATTAAACTGCAGTCAATCTACCACAGTAAAATTGGGGAAGTTACCTTACCTTCACAAGCCTCAGTCCTGGTGTGGCGCTGTGGCTTAGTTCTCTGGACTGCAAAGTTGGTTTGCCCTGCAAGGCCAGTGGGCCAAGCTTACCAGCCACTCCTTGGAAACCCTATACAGGGTCACTATGAGCCAGAACTGACTCAACGGCTCTCAACAACAAACTGAAAATAATAACACCTATCTGAAACTGGTAGCGTAGTGGTTACGAATTGGGCTGCGAACCGCAAAGTCAGCAGTTCGAAACTACCAGCTGTTCCACAGGAAAAAGATGTGGCTTTCTGCTCCCGTAAAGATTTACAGCCTTGGAAACCCTGTACAGGGTCGCTATGAGTCAGAAACCGACTCCACGGCACATCACCACCACCACCACCACCATCTGAAACTGTGTTAGTTGAGAATAGCAATAATGTACCTATTACAGTTAGCAAGGCTTATGACAAATCCGTCTCAGCTTTAGAATTTTGTATTTTCGGGTTTCTTTGCCTGGACTGCTTATCCTAGATTTTCACCTGACTGACTCTTCTCATTTAGGATTCAGCTCAACTCTTTCCTCCTCAGACACACCTCTTTGCTCACCCTATTCATTTTCTTGAATATTTGTCTAAAATTATATAATATGTTCATTTGCTTACTTTTTAAAAATTATCTGTCTCTCCCCAATACAAGCCCATGAAAGCAGTAACTGGGCCTGCTAATTAATATATTCCCACTAACAAGAATGTTACTGGCATTTAACAGGAACTTGAAAACATACCTGCAGAATTAATTAACTAATTGATGGGTTGTCGTTAAGTGCTGTCAAGTCAATTCCAACCCATAGTGACACTGAATAGGGTGTCCAAGGAGCAGCTGGTGAGCTCGAATCACCAACCTTGCCCGTCAAATGACTTTGCAGTCTGACGCATTAGCCCACAGTGCCACACCAGGACAGATGGGTCAAATATTGGACATGAGGGAAATGGCAGATAGATGATGATCTTTTATAGGGAAAGAAAGAGGGAAGGAAAGAAAGATCAGGAGGTTGGCGCCACATCTACAGTCAGTGAAGGGCCAAAATGGAAATCCCAGTGCCTTGGAGTGGGAGTGACAGGTGGCACCAAAGGGAGTCTTTTTCACACTCAGAACCTCAGTTTTGCTCCTTGGACCTTTCACCAGTAATATTATTTTCTTTGACCCGGCACACTCCTTTCTAGGAATTTATCGTTTGACCATACCTAAAATTGAGCTTTGCAATCTTTATGAGCATCCAATATTCTTTTAATCAAATACAGCACAATGAAGAACCAATGAGTTCATCCAAAGTATAACTATATTATGATACATTCATGGAATAGTATGGAATGCTATTCAGCCATGAAAAATAAAGCACGATTAGGTTCAAAATCAAGGTGTATTGAGCATGTTACACATGTCAGGCACTGTTCCAGGAACATGGGTACATAAGTGAAAATAGAAAATTATTGTCTTCATAGAGCTTACATTTTAGCTGCTCTAGAAATATGACAAACTTGATTATATGAATCACTATCATTCCCAATGCAAGTACCTAGAAATGTTAGATGAAAACGAAACAAACATGATCTTCAGTAGTATTTGAAACAGGACTTTCAACCAGTTCTTGTTGATTTAGTTATGGCTTTCAAAGCGCTCAGAATGGACCCTAATTTGTAAAATGTGGGTGAACCAGACCAGGAAAAATTACAGACTGGCACCCTGCTAGAAACAAAATCTCCCTCTTAGAAACAAAGGCAGTGTGCACATTGCATAGCAGAATTTTGAGCAGTGCCAAGCTCAAAAATGGCAACAAATTACACTGCTTTGTGTGTGGTTCTCCACAGTCCTATCAATAATCTAATCTCCTGCATCAGTCTCCCAATCCAGGGCTTCAACCCATATTTTTCCTATCCTAAATATTGTCCTGCTTTATAAAATAATTTAAAATTTGGTCTGTTCAGATTTCATCAGCCAGGACTGAGCCAGTTGAAAGCCCTGATTTGAAAGGTTGAGGCATTCAGTAAACAAAAAAATCTGTATTTTCTCTTCCTGGAAGTATGTAGAACTGTAACACTTCCAAATTACAGCAACAAAAAAATATGTCCCAAGGAGACAGACCAAGATGGTAGCCTTGTCAGATGTTTTATAATGTCTCTCTTACAATAAAGACTCAAGAAAACACATAGAATCAGATATGGATGACAACTTTGAAGGCCTGAGCATCAAAGGCAAGGCTAAAGAATCAGACCAAGTGCCAATTGGAAAGAGAGACTAAACAAAACTAGAAGACACAGACAATCACAGCAGAACCGGCACAGTGCAGCCATATTAAAGGCAAAGCAGCAGAGTTCCCAGCCCTAAGCCCCAATCACCTGATACAGCCAAGCAGGAACAACTCTGCACCTATGTACAGAGCCAGGGAGGCGTGCTCACTGCTCTGTGAAAGTTAAGTGCACTCGTCTCTCCACCATGCACCCTTTCCCCATCCACACCACTACCACCCCATAACCCCTACAAGTGGTCTCTGTCTAGTGTTCTGCCTTTGAGTCTGTTCTGAATCATAGCGACCCTGTATAGGGTGACTTTAGCAGCTGAGTGCTTATCTTACAGGGCCACACCAGGACCCAAAAATGATAGATGGTTGTTGTTAGTGTGTTCAAGTTGGTTCTATGGGAATGAGTGTCTTTTCTTCAAAAAATTTTGTAATCCTGTTTGTTGTATTCAGATGACCTCTCTTTTACTTCTTATTACTTCCTGAAGTGAATAAGGACTTTCCAATTTCCTTAAGCTCCTCTAGCTATTTGAAATAACCAGTCAAGTAAGGACAAGAATATGTGCCAAAGCAATTTGAATTAACCAACCGGGTAAGGATAAGACTATGCGGTAGAAGCCCTAGCCAATGGGGTGAGACAGTTTTAAGACTATATCAGGGATAAAAATGAGCTGACTACCCACTGAGTGTGCTCCCTAACCTCTTCCTGCACAGCTATGCACACCCTTCTACAGAAGTAAATTTTTCCTTGCCAAGGTAATTTAATCTTACTGTGCGACATCGGGGTTCATTTCCACCATTTGCAACTCATAGTGACCTTGTATAGGGTTTCTGAGGAGCAGCTGTTAGGTTTGAACCTCCCACCTTGTGGTTAGTAGACCAGTGCTTATCCTACAGCACCAAACCAGGACTCCACAATGATAGATGTTGTTGTTAGGTGCCACTGAGTCAGTTCCGACTCATAGTAAATCATGTATGGGGTTTCTGAGAAGTGGCTGGTGAGTTTGAACCACTGACAAAGCTATCTGTCGCGCCACTGCTTATCCTACAGCGACAAACCAGGACAGGTCCATAAAGTAAACAATAATAACTGAAAGGAACGTATCCGGTAGAACAATTAAATGACATCAAAAGGACATTTCTCCATAAGCAAAGATGAGAAGGCAGAAAGAAGGGTAATATTCAGGCAAAAGAAATGAAAGAGGGTAGAAACCGAGACTATCATGAAACTTGATATACAAACTATTGAGTGAGAAACTATTTTGCTATGTAAACTTTCACCTAAGGAACACAACCACACACACAAAATTTTTTTAATGTCCCAAACCTGGACTGGGTCAGAACTGCTTTTTGGGGTTGGGTGAGTGGGTATCATGTAATTCACCACTTCCTTCTGGGACTAACTTATCACTCCTGATCAAATGCATAAGTAATTTTCTGATAAACTCTGAAGGGTCTTGAAGACACCCACTCACCCAACAGTTGTTATTAATTGCTGTTGAGTCTGTTCCCACTCATGGCGACCCTGTATCGAGTTTCCGAGGAGCGTCCGGTGGATTTGAACTGCTTATCTTGAGGTTAGCAGTCCAATGCTTATCCTACAGTGCCATACCGCAAACATAATTTTCTTGTGTAGCTAGTTTAACAAGGATATCTTTGCCTATACAATATCCCTACCAAGAGTAAATCTTCAAATTAACCTGGTAGAGTCTTTTTCCTTGTAATAAATTGTCAGAACTAAATTGCTTGAATTTTTTTTCTTTTATCAGTATTTAAACATATTTTAAAACCTTAAAAAACTTGGGTAATATTCAACTAGGTTCTAGTCTAAGGGAGGCGGGAATGATTGACGGCGAGATCATAGAACTACAGGAATAGAATGCACTTCATGCATTCTTTTGACAAGTATTTGAGTGCCTACCATAAGCCAGCCTTTGACAAGAATTTGTGTGTCTACTACATGCCAGGCACTGTTATAGGTGCTGGAGATAGAAAAATGGAATATTGGGGAATGAGGGTGGAAAATAAAACTACAATTCCCACAGTATCGCGTTCTGCTCCCTCTTCCCAGGTAGGCACTTATTTCCACTAGTTTCTTCCCATAATTCTAGTCGTGCCGAAAAGTCCCGCCCCTTTGTCTGACTTTTCTACAGTGTTCGATGAGAAATTAACTACAATTCCCATAATGCTTTCATGGAGCACCCTATAAAGATGTCACCTCCCTCCAGGCTGTGCCAAGGATTACTACAGTTCCCAGGATCCTTCGCTTCCTCTCGGGTGTTATGCCCCTTTCCTGGTGCCGGACGCGGTAGAAGCGAGCTCGTGTGCCAGGCCTGGGCTCCTCTGTGTCCTTCCCCGGGGCAGGGACGAAGCAGTGACTTGACGCTTGGTCGCTGAGCCCGGCAGGGAACACAGAAGGCCGCCGTTCCTCCTATCCGGTTTACCTAACCCTTCTTCCTCCTGCTGCACCCGTGGCCGCCGTGGTCGGCTCCGGGACTGACAGTCTAGGGCCAGGGTGGCGGTCGCGGCCTCCAGGGCTGTGAAGAAGCCGCAGCCCTCGGGGCGGCGGTAGCGGAGTCAGCGCTGGGGAGAAGGGAAGATGGCGTCGGAGCTGGAACCCGAGGTGCAGGCCATAGACCGGAGTTTGCTGGAATGTTCGGCTGAAGAGATCGCGGGGGTGAGTGTAGGGACCCGGACGGGGAGGTCCAGCTATTGCAGGCCGCGCCCCGGGGGAGGAACCGGCTCCTGCAGATCCCGAAGTAGCCGGGTTCTGACCGCTCTCTCCAGCTTCGCTACTCTCCAGTTGTAGAGTAATGGCCTGGGGAAGCCACGGGTCCTCCGTCTCCTAACCTTTCTCTCCTTTCCTCTTCATCCTGAAACAGTCCCCAGAAGTGCTGTGTGCACCAGCCTCCTTTGCATTCCCTTTCTTCTCTGGCACCCAAGAGCTCGCCCATTATTCTTCCTTTTCCTCCAGCCTCCCATTAAGTCCCCAGCACTCAGGCCTTTGCCCTTTATCCCGGCCCTTGGAAGACGGGAGGGAAAGAGATGCTTCCCAGCGTTTGGGTATAATCGCCCTACTTGGTCTTCTTCATCAAAATATATTCCATTAACTGAGCCCCACTTTGTTACTGGAGGCCTAATACCGTAGGCACCAAGGATGCAAATGACACAGTTCCTCCCCTTGAGCTCCTGTAGTGCGTTTTTACACTTTGTGGTCGGTCTCCAACGTTTATAAATATGTGCAAAATAGTGTCTGGACACGTTTACTCAGTGTGTGAAAGTAGTAGTGGTGGTAGCTGGATAAGGAACAAAAAAATTTTTTTCCAGGAGTTGGAGGTGGCTGGGTGGAGGACAAACGTTATATAACTTCGAGGCAGCAGCTTTCAGCAAAAAAAAAAAAGCTAATAATATAAGACGTTGGCTACAGCACAGTAGGAGCAGTATATCCCAAACCTTTCAGATGTAGAGTTGTACTAAAACGAATTTGAATTTGTTGATACAGTTGTAAAATGATTTTTTTAAATGAAACGCTGGTGGCTTCTTTCCATACTACAAAGGCCAGGGAAAGAACAGATTGTCCAGAATGACTATGAATGGACCAAAACAACTTGGGCCTCACCTCCAAGGCCTCCAGTTTAAAAAAAGTTACTTAGGAAGGGAGTGACCTTTGAACGCAAGTCAACAATCTAAATGTTAGGAACAAAATTTGAGCAGGGAAGAGGAGGGGCACGCTGTGGGCTGTTGATCCTTGCAGTGTTATTTTGGGTGAATTGATAAGGACACTAAAGTCAGGGTGGAAATAAATGGCAGTAGGAGTTGAGGTGAAAGTCTAAAGACATACACTGCTAATTGAGTGGCAATTCTTGGCTTGTTTTATGTTGGTTTTGCCACAGTTCCTACCGTCTTGCTTAGTTTAGGTCTGTTTTCATTTATTTTCTACTTTAAATTGTCAGATCCCAACAACTGTCAGCCTTCACCTATCTACCTTTCGTTTATCAATAATGACTGATAAAGAAAATGAAAGCACCATTACAAATAAGCAGTAACCCTAACCATGATCTCTTCTCTTGAGAGTGAAGGGAGGGGTTTTTAACCTCAAAGTAAAAAAAAAAGTTTTTTTTAAACTTCCACCAAATTTTGTGTTTGCTTGGTTCAGTGATGCAGGCTAAGTGTTCTATTATCCCTGTTCTAAAAGTGCAGACTATGAAGTTTCAGAGCTTCTCCAACTTGTTGAGGTTCCTGAGGAAAGCAGTTCTAAAAGCGGTGCTTGGAGACCAGTGTTTTTTTTTTTAGGAAAGCATTGGTCCCCAGTACCACTTTTGTAACAAGGTTCCTCAGGAACCAGTTCTTAAGCAGTGAAATGCTGAAGCAGATGCAGTGAGGAAAATAAAGGGTATTGCAATAAAAATGTAGTAATTTGGGTTTCATTTGAGTTTGTGAAGCTCAACAGATTGATCTACATTTTCCTTTGGCTCTGTTTAGTTTTAAATGGCTTTCTGAGCAGTAATAGGAAGAAGAAACAGGTTTTGTCTAAAAGTTAACAAAATTCCTTTAAATACTAGATGCCAACTAATATGACAATATAAGATTTCCCCCAGCTATGTAACCTAACCTTACTTTGTAAGAGATTCACAGGCTGTATTTAGTTATAGTAGCATAACAATTAAAACTATTCTTTCAGCTTAGGCTCTAGCATAGCTCTTTTGCACAAATGAAGATAACTTGTTTTCCTTTCAGAGGATAAACAAGTAGGGAAATCAGTTTTAGACCTCTGTTAACTGGTAATTTGCTAGGATCCCATCTATCTGAAATTACCGAATGAGCACTAGTTTCCTCTTTCACATACTTTATTTACACACTGCTTTTCTTATTTCAAAGAGCCTTGGTGGCTTTGTAGTTAAACTCTTGACTGTTAAATTGAAAGGTTGACAATTTGAACCCCTAGCTACTCCAAAAAAGAAAGATGTGCCAGTCTGCTTCCATAAAGATTATAGTCTTGAAAACACTACGGGGCAATCTACCTTGTACTATAGCGTCACTGTGTGTCAGAATTGACTCAGTGGCAGTGGATTTGGTTTTGGTGGCTTATTTCTGTTATGAGGAGAAAGGACTTTATTGGGATCCATCTATCCTAATTACTCTGTCTCACAAATAAAAAGCATTTAGACCGATTCTTTAATTATTATAAATTTAGGACCCTAAAATGCCCTTTTTTCCTGTTTTCTCTTTTTCTTGATAGACTTGAGTCCAAAATTTTGACTTTACTAACACTTCTCAACTTTCATCTGCATTTGGTGTACTCTACAGATTTGATTGTATCATGTTCCAATGGTGATTATGTCTTAAGAAGTACATAGTTTTTTTGTACTTCTTAAGACATAATTACTTTCCCCAATTATATAAAAGAAATACATATTCATGGTAGAAGTTTATGTAGAGTTTTAAGTCTTTATTGGTTATTTTTAGCATTACTTTTAACATTTTTAAGTTTTATTGAGATACTCTTATACAATCAATTTATTGGATTTTAGTCTTGTCATAAAGTTGTACAACCATCATCATAATTAATTTTAGAACAGTTTTATCACATTTAAAAACAGGGTATATCTCTTTGTACTCTGTTACCCTTAGCAGTCAGACTCCATTTCCTGACAAGCTCACACCCACCAAACCCCAGCCTCAGACCAACATTGATTTACTTTCTGTCTCTAGATTTGCCTATTTTGGACATCTTATTACAAGGAGCTCTGGTAGCGTAGTGGTTACGAATCGGGCTGCGAACCTTAAGGTCAGCGGTTCGAAACTACCAGCTGCTCTGCGGGAGAAAGATGAGGCTTTCTACTCCCATAAAGATTTACACCCTCGGAAACCCTATACAGGGTCGCTATGGGTCGGAACCGACTCAATGGCACATAACAACAACAATAACAACATTACATGGAATAATACAGTGTGTATGTTACTGGCTTCTTTCACTTAAACATAAGCATTTATCGGCACTTAATTCTTTTGTATTGCCAAATAATAAACCATATTATGAATACGTCACATTTCATTTATTCATTCATCACTTGATGGACATTTGGGTTGTTTCTACATTTTAGATATTATGAGTCATGCTGTTATGAACATTCATATGTAAGTTTGTATGTTTTTCTAAAAATACTGTGATTTTAGAGAACATTTTCATAGCAAATTAGATTCTCATTTAGCAGTGTATTTGGCTGCATTGATTACACTTTCCATAAATGTGTCAGTGTTCTCATTTCCATTCTGGTTGTTCTCTTTACATTGACTTAGCTTCTTTATTCCTTGGTAATACTGTAGGATAAGCACTGGACTGCTAATTGCAAGTTTAGCAATTCAAACTTACCAGCTGCTTCCGGGGAGAAAGATGTGGCTTTCTGATCCTGTAAAAATTTACAACCTTAGAAACCGTCTGCAGGGTTGCTGTGAGTCAGAATTGACTCCATGGCAATGAATTTGGTTGTAGCCCTTAACCTTTTCATGTTTGGTCTAGGGTAAATGTTGACTGTTAGGTCTCATTTAGATGATTGTTTAAAGGAGCATAGTACTCCTGTGTGATTTTACTTTATGATTCAATCTGCTTTTGATTGATAGGTGACCTCCAGGAGCAATTTGAGTTCCAAGTTTAAAGGGTATCCCAGGGTGACATTGGAGTGGGGGTGGGGGTGGGTTCCTCTACCATTTTAGCATATCTGGCCTTTTTTAGGAATTTGAGTTTTGTTCTGCATCTTTCTCCCATTCGGTCCAGGACCTTCCTTTGTGTGTCCCTGGTCAGAATTGTTGGTAGTGGTAGCCAGGCACCATCTAGTTCTTCTGGTCTCAAGTTAGGTGAGGTAGGTCATGGTTCGTGTAGACTGTTAGTCCTATCTATAGACGAGTTTCTTCTTGAAGCTTTGGTTTCTTTTTTGCTTCAAATGCGTAGAGACCAATAGTTGTATCTTCTATGGCTTTTAGGAAAGCTTTTAGGACCCCAAGGCACTACTCAACTAAATAAGGATGAGTTCTCTTTATGAACTCTGCTGTGCTAACTGACTCAGTTGTCTTAAGCCCTCAAACCTAATAACCTGGTCCTGCAAGGTACTTGGTTATGTTTCTGTACAAAAGTTTTTTGGGGACCTGTATTTTCATTTCTCTTGGGTGTCTAGGAGTAGAATTGCTGGGTCATAATGCTGACACTATATTTAGCTTTTTTGAGGAGCTGTCACACTCTTTTCCAAAGCGGTTGCACCATTTTAGTTTCCTGCCAGCAATGGATGAGGGTTCCAATTTCTCCACGTCAACACTTGTTATTATTTGACTTTTTTATTATTATTATTATTATTATTATTATTATTGCTGTCCTAGAGGGTGTGAAGTGGTATCTCAGTGTGGTTTTGATTTGTATTTTCATGATGACTCATGGTGCTTAGCGTCATTTCATGAGTTTATTGGCCATTCATATATCTTTGGAGAAGTGTCATTTCAGATCCTTTTGCCCATTAAAAGGAGTCCTGGTGTGGCACTGTGGGTTAATGCACTGGATTGCGAAGTCATTCAAGCTCACCAGTCACTCCTCAGAAACCCTATATAGGGTCGCTATGGGTTGAAACTGGCTCGATGGCACTTAGCAACAACACTCATTTAAAAACTTGGATTATTCTTTATTGTTGA